TAGGCTGACGGTTCTCTACAGGGGCACGTTTGTCAAGCCAAAAAAAAAAAATCCTGGCACACCTTTCCTTAGAACGGTTGAGTACTCAAGGAAAGAAGACAGTGCAGATTTAACGTTCAGTTGCTTTCAATGCGATGAATGAAACTGTTTGTATGAATTTTTATTTTCATTTTAAGAAGTTCTCTCCAGCATGAATGACCCTGTCCGAAGACGATGTCTTAATCCGTATGTACTAAATCAGAATGATCGCATCCCAGATGTCTCTTTAACACACATGCACACACATACACACACACATAAATACACCAAAAGAACACATTACCTGTAAATACACGTACTTACTTGACCAGGCTAACAGTTACTACTGTACAGACAGCATTTTCTACCTTCAAATTTCAGTCAAAATGCTACCACAGCTCTATTTATCGACTGCACCTTCATGAATGTAGGTAGAGGATCGGTCGCACCTCGAGATAAATACTAGGACAATTTTTCGCACATTGCTGTTGGCATTTTATGCAGTATGAAACATGTATGAGTGTAAAACAAGAAATAAACTCTTCTCGACAGTGGCTAGGGAGGACAACTTAAATTGTAACTTTTAAATATCTACATGCCTTCTTTAATAACTTCACACTTTTTAGTCAACTTTTTTAAATTTTTGCTTCAGCACCCCTGGCATACGCTCACGGCAACCTAGGGTGCCGCGGCATCCAGTTTGAGAACCGCTAAGTCTACAACAAATTACAAAGTCACTGCTCAGAACTTCGGTGCAGCAGCCACTTTATGGAACATGTGCTGATTGTTCCCATGAGAAGTTGATTACAGTTATCCTCTCTGTTCAAGCTTCTCGTCTTATTCGCTATCGCATTACTTCAAACTGGTCCGCTCGCTCGTTACCTTGTACTCCGGCATGCACGGAGACTTCCAAATGCTTTCTACCAATTCAGAGCGTAGATTACTTGTTGCGATTTTCTGAAGCACGTTCATAGTCTGAACAGTGGTTCGTGTGTGGCTGCTTGTTCTGCCACCCACGCGTCTGCTCTGGAGTAGCGCTCAACTCCATAGTCATGCATGACGTAGTTGCCATAGAAGCGCCACTACACTCTTTTATTGTTTTACCCATCTGTCATGGCGTGTATGACCTTGATGGAGACTTCATTAAGCCTTTTTCCCGGGCGTGAATCTGATCTAGAGGTGCCCTCATCTAGGTATCTACTGTGAGCGGAACATGTTTGCTGCAGTATCTTCCCAATAATAAAACAACATTAGATTCGGTCATGCGTATTTACTTGTGTATGCCCCCCACTCTTTTCCGTGACTGATCTTGTCCTGCTCCCATTACTGATGGATAAGATTTCAACCTTGGCGAACAAAGTACAGCCTCTTTTGATATACGTTCTTTTTATAATATTATTAGCTTTATACAGTGTGTGGTTAGTGTCTGCCGATAACCTCATGAACGCTTGACCAGTGTCACTTTATATGTCTGGTAGTCATCCTTGGTAAACCCAGGACACATAGCATGGCGTGGCAAGTGATATCTTTTGAGCAGTCGTCGATGAGTCTCATGGCTCTATTTAGTACCTGGTCCAGTCTTTCTAGCTGGTGCCATCGGAGTTGGAACTCTTTTTGGCTGCTGAAGATGGAGACGAAGCGCTTATAATGATGTCCTGAGTGCTGTGATGTCTGTTCCTGAAACTCAACTCATCGAAATCTCTAATTAGTTTCATCTGCATCGAAGATAACTGCAGTAGCCACCCTTATAATATTTGATTTGATTGATTTGATTTGATTCAAGAACCGACATCACAGCACTGATAATATTATACAATATAGTACTCTGAATGTTTTCAAAGTCAAGTGCTCAAGTACGTGCTGATAGAACGCGACCTCTAATTCCACAAACTTTGACTGACTGTGTACCCCACCAGAACATCACACAAGCGATAAACACCCGATGACACAATGTGCCACCATGTGGATGAGGATCACCGTGGAGAGGTCTCAGAAACCGCGTTCAGCCAGTAGGCCATATTTATGGCCGGGCTATAATGCGGCCCCTGGCAAGAGCCAGAGTAGGGCTTCAAATTACGAAAAATGTCATCCTAAAAAGGACAGGATCTGCCTAATTGAGGCAGGTCAATTAAGCTCCACACACTTTGCCTTTCTTCGGGATTCCATCGAGACTACTTTGATGTTTAACATTGTATAGCTTTTCAGCCTTCAATATAGGATATTGTTCAATGGTCTGTTTTCTTTAACGTTCAGCGCTCTTAGAATGCAAATACAATACAATCTCGATTATCCGTACTCTATGTTATCAAACAAAGTCCAACATGTGTCCGGTAAACCAATCGTAAGCTTGTCGCTCGGTCGTCCAGGTATGCTGACTGTTCTAATTAGGCGACCGCGGCGGGTTCTTATCTCACAGTACCTTCTGCAAAACCACCAAGTCGTCTTGTCCCTATCCGAAAGAAAACACCATCCGGTAATTTCGTGCAGCAGGGTACCAGCCCTGAGCTTCATGAACTCAGGTGGGCCCACCTCTGAAAACGTCTAGGAGATCGTGGGCCGAAACGTTTCTCAACGAGGATAACTTCTACTGATGACTGGTAGATCCCTGCTGTACTTGCTCCCTGTGAGTTTATTCCTATCCTATCCGGCTTGGTTTAAAAAAAAATATATCTTAGCAATGACAAAAGTAATAATTTACTTTGCCAAGTCGCTGCAAGCCTGCGTTGACGGGGGTTTGGGGCTGGGGGGGGGGGGGGGGGGGGGGGGGTGTTGGTTAGATTTTCAGAAAGCAGCAGAGGGGTGGAAACGGACATATTCATTACATGAATAACTGCTGCATTTTCTTCGATAGCGGAACAAAAAATATTTTAAAAAATAAATAGGAGGATGAGGATAATAGGAGACGGAGTTAGAAAATGCAGAGGATAGGCTGGAAAAATAGGAGCAAGAAGACGGCACCCGTTATTTGGTTTTATAAATACGTTTAATTTTACAACTAGTTCCATTTCATAATGGGCCAGACTTTTTTTCAAAAATGACCTGGGCTTAGAGTCGACCCAGCCTTGAAGGTGTACCAGCTGCAGTCCTGGGAAGTAAAGGCGACCGGCATGATGCTGACCACCATTTTCCATCAAGTACCGTTTGGTCTATAAAATATAGGTTTAGCTCTATATACCCAATACGCAAGAAGCGTGCAGAAGGGTCCTTTACTTTTTTATTAGTTTCAATTTCAAAAAGCTGTTACGAGAGAAATCGCATCAGAAAATTTGCTGGTGACATTCTACATTCACACTAAATGACAATAACCAGTGCCGCTCCAATCGAGCCAACATCTATTCCTTCCCACAAAACTAGATGGCAAAAGTGGAAGATCTTTACCCCCCTGGTTACTTCATCGAAGATTTTAGGTTTTAGCTTTTAGACGACGGATCAACATCATGGCACAAGGGTAGTAACCCTATGGGTTAGACCTATAAGTGCTCCGTTCTACTTCTGACTCAAGCCTGAGTCAGAAGAATATCAGTGCAGTGCAGGAACTCCGTAGCACCGTTGAGGATCCTGATATATTTTAGGTCGATTTTTGACTCTAAATTTGGCAGGGCAGCGCCGTTAGGCTACCCTTTCTCGCTTTCCAGCTGTCAATGAATGTTTTACGTGCGCAACAACCCCATAATCTTACTACCCAAACCAAGGGAAATTACTAGAAGTCCATGTGAAAAAATCCCAACTCTCACAGGGGCTTGAATCCGGGACCTCCAGCACTCAAGGCAGATGCCATACCTCGAGACCACGCAACCCCCTCATCGAAGTGTTGGGCATCAGTTGATCTTCCTTTCTTTGAGGGCGTGCTCGATGTCCAGATTGTCCATGGTGATCCCTTTCGCCGTGATATCATAACATTTCTCTATCGTGGCTCTGTGTGGCAGTTGATACCAGGCCATACTCGTCAGATGACCAAACCATCTCATCTGTTGCTCTTTAGTGTGACTGGTTTCAGCACTAGTCTGGAACATCAACCGATTTGTCCTCTCCGCGCTGCTACATAAATGTTCACCATTCTGAGATTAAAAAAAAAAAACGGAAAACTCAGTCTGGAAGGCGGACCAAAAAGGTAGATCCAAGATACCATGTTCAGCTTTGTAAGAAGCTACACAAATATGGTATCCGTAACCTAACAACACCAGCCAGGTGTAACCGAGTCATGTGCGGGTAAGAATGAGTCTGGAGGATGGTGATGTTGTTCGTTTATCACGAGTGATAAAGACCATATTTCACTCAAAGTAATAATGATCAATGATTATGAGTACGAAGGAGACTGATTCGTCCAAAATGAGCATGGGCAGTTCTTGAGCAGTGGGGACAACAGGTGGAAGCCTCGGTAAGTGTTAGATTAGCGACACGGTTCTTTCTAATCTGCCTCCATTTTTCTGCTTGTACAACCTCGGCTGCCTGGCAATCTGATGCACCATTCCTATGGCATGTACGCCATCCAGAAAGGTCCTGTGCCGCAGCCTTCCATGTTGCTGTGTTGATGCCATACGAACTGAGAGTAGTTTCTTCTTCCTCTTCGCGTTCACCAGCTGTAAACTCTGGCGGAAAATTCTGGCTGTTCGTCCACTTCTGGACTGCAGTCCTGTTCCAGAACTTGAGTGTTGTGTGTGCATCCGTTTGAGAGATCTGACGAATTTGGATGCGGGCTGTTGGTTCATTGCCTCTCAGGCAGATGCACTCTGACTTTAAAGGAAGCTTCCAATTAGTTGACTCTTACGACATGCTTTTGAGTAGGCAGTGGGTCTATTCTTGTTTTCCCTATAACAGGGCCCCGGAACCCACGGAGAGAAAGTAGTTTGAGAAAGCCCTTATAGTATAGCGCTTTTTATATCCTCCCTGGTGATACTTTTTAATAATAGACTTTATTTGTCTTCGAGACAAGAGAGCTCTCTTGTATACAGAGCGGCACAAAACCTGGTGGACACGGCAAAATGAAGTTGCTAGGAAGGTCATTCATTGCTTCCAGTATTCGTCTGCTCTCTTCGCGGCAGGTCTGTTCAGATTTCAAAATTTAAGCAATGCATTTGCACAACGCCTTAGTTTTTTTCAAAACTTCACTGAGTAGTTTTCTTGTTCATAATAATATACATACAGGACCACCACGCAAAAGTTAATCAAGGTTCAGTCAGAAAAAAAAACACACATGTTACGTAATGTAGTGTTTTTGGCACCTTTCCGTCTTCCATACCCATACGATGTCGGGTAGTATATTGTTGTGCTATAGGGATGCATGATCATTATCTGATGTAGAAGTTATTAATTGTAAGTAAACTAATAATAATTCGCTCATCAGTTATGTCTGAAAATAATAACCACGAACTGATCTGCCCCCAAAGTAGGGGAAAGTAAGTAGTAGATTGAGTAGCGCCTCAGCCTTTTATTTTTTATGATGGGAAGGTTGCCTTCACTATATTTTAAAATCGCAGCTGAAGGTTATACAACGCAGTAGAACTAAAGTATATTAGTTCTGTAGGAGTGAAAGAAAGGCACATATCTGGTTTTCAATCGTTTTGAATTTGCTGCCAGGGCCAAATGATCTGTGACTGAATTTATTTTTTAACATATATTTAATTAAGTATAACAGACAGTTAAAAGTTAGTTGCATATCCTTTCTTTACAGGTCTTGCAGAGCCAATCTTGTAATTAATATTATTTGCATTATTATTAGACATTTACCAGATTGATATGAGTAATGGTATTATTTTGAGTAGATGCTGATTGAAGTACTTGTTTTATGAATTGTAATAGATTATCAGCATCATCATTATTCCAAGGAACTTTCTAGGAATAATTTGAACTATTTTCAGAGTCATCATCAGTTCAGTTTTCATAATGGCGGACAGCAGCTGTGCTTATTTTCGCTGGCTGTCAATTCTCTCGGATTATTCTGTTTCATAAACATGGACTGTTATTTTATGCGCATTTCCAACGCAGGATATTATGTGTTTTTCATGGGAACAGCGTGTATTGTGGTTGTGCTGTGTCCGGGCGGGATAATGACCGATAGTTTTGGCAGCCTCGGCCACGCTGCCTTCGCAATGTTTTAATCGCGGCGGTCCACTCGGGAAGACAGAATCTTGTCAGCAGGGGACTGCAACTGTCTAGAGAGCAAACTCGATAAAAGCTGTCCCCAGAAACGGAATGTGTCAACCATATATTTGGTGGGGAGGAATCGACACATACGGTTAATGGCCATGGCCAGAGTCATCATCATCGTCAATCGGAAAGAGTTGATACTGTTAATTTTTAATTATTTCCAGATTCATCATCAGTCGGATGGAGTTGATGCTGTTCATTGTGAATTATTTCCAGGTTCATCATCATCATTAATTGGAAGAAGTTGATTTTGTTAATTGTGAATTAATTCCAGGTTGAGCATCATCATCAGTCTGAAAGATTTGAAATCACTAATTTTTAATTATTTCTGTTTCTTCATCGGTCATAAAAGTTTCCCATCACTATCGCTGAATTATTTTCAGATTCATCATCATTTTCAGTCTGAATGATTATCCATTGCCAATTTTGAATAATTTCACATTTATCATCATCGTCATCTTTCTATAAGATTTCTTGTGCAAAAAGCAATTTTTTTTTCGGGAATTAAATTGAGTGACAAAAAAATGGAATAATAAATTGTTGTGAATAAAATTCTGGGAAACAAAAAGCCACACATATCTTTTGCACAGCAAGTGTTTCTGTGTGGTTGAAGACAATTATTGAAGGAGTAAATAAGAATTTATAAATTCTGTCAGTGGTTTATACAGACATTAAGGATTGTTGTATTTACTGATTATCATTATCAATTAACTATGCTGCAAAAGTTGAATTTGTTATATAAAACCATATTTTGCAACATTTTGGTGGGGATTATACATTTATTGAATATTATTATTGGTATTGGTCATCTTTGCCACACACAAATTTAAAGATACATATTGTTGAAACAAAAGTCCAAATGGATGGACAACCAAGACTTTCTGCTGAGCTTACAGCTGGTGAACAAAGAAAAAGAAGGATTCCAGGTTTACGCAGTCTGTGATCGGTTCTAAATTATGCTCTGGGAAGTAACAATGGCTGTCTTGATATTGGATGCATCACCAGTTGAACACCCTTTGGTCTTTAGAATATGAGCCTAACAGCTTCTACTTGTTATATGGGAAAGGTACTGGGTCTAGTAAGTCATAGGGTCTGGTTTATTTTAGAGAACTTAATTTTCTGTAACCATTCATGTCACTGGGAGTCGCCGTGGCGTCGTGACTAGACGTTCACGTGTGGATCGTAAAGTGGTGGGTTCACTCCCTGGCAGAGCCAGACCTGAACTTTTAAAAAAAAATGACCATAGACTCCCAGGTCGACCCAGCTTTGAGTGGGTACTGAGTGCAGTCCCGGGAAGTAAAGGCAGCCGGCGCAATGCTGACCACATATAGCCTCATGAACTATCAGTCATTTCTGATACAGATGTTCTTAAATGCGATGATATTAAACTGTCTATAAAATCTTCTGTCTTGTTCTCCCTCATCACTCTTCCACTGCAATGTTTTTATTGTCACAATTCATACCACAGTTAATATGGTTTTTGATTTTTGTTTGTTTGTGCAGCCAAAATCACTTTTCTCAACTCTGAAGTACCAGACCTTCCCACAATGTTCTGTTTGCAATTACAAGCAAATTACTCAGCTGTCGTGCACAGTTATACAACAGGTAAGATTCCTGTTCTTCATTTGTTTATTCCCCATTTTGCAATTAGATTTATTGAAAAACAAAGAAATGGTTTGGCCACCTATGAATACAGCATCACATGTTGCAAGAGCATTCAACATGAAAATATAATTATCAAGAAGCAGAGAGGAAGGCCAAGAAAAAAAAGATAGATGGAGTTAACTTACTTAAACTTATCAGTATTATTATCATGCAGCAATCTAAGGAGCGCGCACTTGCCCCGAAACTGATCATTAGCCAAACCTGCCACACTTAAGAGCATTGCGCAGAGAAAGACAATAGATAGATAGATTGCCCATTAGAGCATAGGCCGTCAATCAACTCACACTGAACTGTTTTTAAAAACTGTTTGAAGCATGTTTATGCCAACTCTTCAGGATCAAGCTTGAAAAAAATTATTTTAATTTCAAGGGGCAGTGGTTTTACAGTGTGATTTGGATGTTCTGTTGGCCCCAACCAAACAAGCTGTGGCAGATCAACAGTTGACAAGGACTGTAAGATGATCCCATGTGTAAGACGCACCTTGATTATGGGACCAGAAATGTTTGTTAACAAAATAATATGATAGTACCATTGTAGAAGAGGCACACTGTTTTAAGACCCTATAATTTGCACACGAGTCCCAGAAACCCTGTTCAGCTCTTACTTATATTGCCCCCCCCCCCCCTCCAACGAAAGCCAGGGTGGGGCTTTAAAATAACAACAAATTTGTGTCCCATTTTGTGACAGAGTAAATAGCAATTGTGATAATGTAAAGTAAAACCAGATTATTCTTTCTTGTCATTTCTTGTAGCTCATTTCATCACACATGGGGTGATGCACAAGGCGGAAGTGTTTCATCACACATGGGGTGATGCACAAGAAGCAGAGCTCACACTGGTCAAATCCGATCTACACCTGTCTGCGATCATCCTAGAAACGATTTCCCAGCTAGAGGCCTCACCACCGTAGATAAGAATACTGTTTCGTTCAAAGTCACAATGCATTTGCCTGGGGAGGGGGGGAACCAGTAGTCTGCACACAAATAAGCCAAATCTGTAAAACAGATGTGCATACAACACTTATGTCTTGGAACAATATCAAAGTCCAGCAGTGGTCGAACAACCAGAACTTTCTGTATTGTTTTTGGTAGTATTTTCACTTTTCCTCTTTACTTGTGTAATTTGGTTTAAACAAACAATTATTACCCTGTTTCCCTTTACATTTGCCAGAGGTATGTTCACACACCGACAATAGCTGATCAGGAAAGTATGTCACCCTGGCAACGAATCAAATTGAAAATGGGTTTTCATGGGAAGTTACAATATCCCAAAATGGTAAGCTGTCTTTTTCTTTCTTTCTTTCTTTCTTTCTTTCTTTCTTTCTTTCTTTCTTTCTTTCTTTCTTTCTTTCTTTCTTTCTTTCTTTCTTTCTTTCTCTTTCTTTCTTTCTCTTTCTTTCTTTCTTTCTTTCTTTCTTTCTTTCTTTCTTTCTTTCTTTCTTTCTTTCTTTCTTTCTTTCTTTCTTTCTTTCTTTCTTTCTTTCTTTCTTTTCTTTCTTTCTTTCTTTCTTTCTTTATTTATTTGTTCTTTTCTTTCCTTTGCTCCGTTCCCTTGGTACCTTACCCATTGTAGACTAGGTCAGCCTGGAAGCCAAGGTCATTTTTGAGGGTAAAAAAAAAGATGTATGCAGATTCGAACCTCAGACCTTCAGCCTAGCAGATGAGCTTCTAGTTACTACACCACCATGGAGCCCACCACAATATGTACCATATTTGTATAGACAGACCAGTATTAGCTCTTGATGGATGAAGAGCTCAGTATTACATCAACCTATCTTTATATTCCAGAACTGTGCCTGGTACACTGTTTACTCTTAAGCTCAGTATTACACCAACCTACCTTTATATTCCAGAACTGTGCCTGGTACACTGTTTACTCTTAAGCTCAGTTTTACACCAACCTATCTTTATATTCCAGAACTGTGCCTGGTACACTGTTTACTCTTAAGCTCAGTATTACACCAACCTACCTTTACATTCCAGAACTGTGCCTGGTACACTGTTTACTCTTAAGCTCAGTATTACACCAACCTACCTTTATATTCCAGAACTGTGCCTGGTACACTGTTTACTCTTAAGCTCAGTATTACACCAACCTACCTTTATATTCCAGAACTGTGCCTGGTACACTGTTTACTCTTAAGCTCAGTATTACACCAACCTACCTTTATATTCCAGAACTGTGCCTGGTACACTGTTTACTCTTAAGCTCAGTATTACACCAACCTACCTTTATATTCCAGAACTGTGCCTGGTACACTGTTTACTCTTAAGCTCAGTATTACACCAACCTACCTTTACATTCCAGAACTGTGCCTGGTACACTGTTTACTCTTAAGCTCAGTATTACACCAACCTACCTTTATATTCCAGAACTGTGCCTGGTACACTGTTTACTCTTAAGCTCAGTATTACACCAACCTACCTTTATATTCCAGAACTGTGCCTGGTACACTGTTTACTCTTAAGCTCAGTATTACACCAACCTACCTTTATATTCCAGAACTGTGCCCAGTACACTGTTTACTCTTAAGCTCAGTATTACACCAACCTACCTTTATATTCCAGAACTGTGCCCAGTACACTGTTTACTCTTAAGCTCAGTATTACACCAACCTACCTTTATATTCCAGAACTGTGCCTGGTACACAGTTTACTCTTAGCCGTTCTGTGATTCCAGATAACTTTAAATAAATCTCCACTTTTGTGGATATTTGAACACATTACCACTGAATCAGAGGATAAACAAACTTGCTACTTCTCTACTGTAGCTACCAAATATGGTATATAGCAAAGGAGCCGTTTCCACATTTGCAGGCTTATTGGTCATATAGGGCTAGATCTATATTTTATAGACTAGTGGGCGCCCAGCTCTCTAGTGTAGTTGGCTTAACCGGATTGCGAGGTGACCGGGTGACGAGTTCCTTGTGGTCCGGGTTTACTCCCGGGGTAGGCAGAAAAGCCACATTTTCCCCAGATTTACGTTATTTATTATTGAATCAAGGCCGAAAGGTTGCGATATCCATAATACCCAGCCTAAGGGTTAACAACTCATGGCTTCTGGATACTTAAACAAACATAGACCATTGGGCACATGGTGGATGATGTGGTCACCATTGTGCTGGTCGCCTTTACTTCCTAGGACTTTACCTGGTACCTATTTAAGGCTGGGTCAACCTTGGAACCAAGGTCATTTTTAACAAATGTCCAGTTCATCAGGGCCTGAACTCGTGACCTTCCAATCTGCAGGTGAGCGTCTGGCCGCTTCACCGTGGCAGCTTCCAAATATGGTTATATTTGAATTATCTTGACCACTGGCTGTCAACCTTCCTAATGCCGCGACCCTTTAATACAGTTCCTAATGCTGCTACTTCACAGTTTTAATGAATATGTGTTTTCTGATGGTCTTAGGGGAGGAAAAGAAAAGAAAGAGTCATTCGACCCACACATGGTCGCAACCCACTGATCTAGACAGTTATTGTTATCATCTGTCTTTCCTACACAGTTGATCATTTGTTAATAGTAATTGGTCAGCTTTAAAGGTATTATCTTCTTTTTAGCTCTTTCGGTACCAAACAACTTACTGAACATTTTTATTAATCATTCCGAAGATAGTGCAGTCTTCTTACTGACTTTTTTCGCAAAAGTCTGTGTTTCAGATATGTTCTGACTGAGAAGGAGTGGGCTTTAGAACTTGCTAATAAATGGCAAATTTAATGGAAAGAGATCAAAGGGAAAGCAAAGAGATAAATACCTGAACATCTTAGCCATGTATGAATGGGGGAGAAAGAACTGACCTGGTTCGCTATAATTGTGATCATAAGAGGCGGCAAAATATAACAACTTATGATGAATATCTGAGTTGTTAGTGTACCTATTTCTGTCCTATACTGTTTCTGTTCAACTGCTTCAAGCCTATGTCGTTGTGGCTTTTCTTTTTCATCCTGTAAAAATCTCCACACAAAAATTTCCACTTTCAAAATTTCATTAAGATGAAGCACATCATTATAATTGGGAGTCGCCGTGGCGTTGGCGGCTAGACACTCGCCTGTGGATCAGAAGGTTGTGGGTTTGCGTCCTAACGGAGCCGGACTTTTTAAAATAATGACCTTCACTGCCAGGTCAACCCAGCCTGGAGCAGGTACCAGGTGCAGTCCTGGGAAGTAAACCACATCACCCACTAAGTGCTAATTGGTCTATAAAAATAGGTCTAGCCCTATATTTAAAATGCATTATAATTATCTAAAAATCTGCCCTAAGAAACCAGAAGGAAAAAAAGAAGAAATTTGAAGTCTTGGTCTGTTTTTTTTGTTTATGTGAAAAGAATTAATCGCTAAATACAAACTGAGCAAAGAAATAACTGCTTTCCTTCCCTTTGAGAAAGAAAAACAAAAACCATGGGTTTTTCGTTACACAGCAACAGATAGCAGGGTGACATCATCATAATTTTTATCATGATATCACAGTGTTGAACAAAAAAAAATTTTTTTAACTTAAATTAATATCTTACAATTTTGTTGTTGTAGATATAGTCATATCTACCACGTCTACACACTGTGCAGCAGTAACTGGTGCCAAAGTTGTTGTATGGGCATATTGGCTACTACCCAAGGATGTCATGTGATCAGAAACCTGTAAAAATAGGGAAAAGGTGGAAGACTGGCTTTTTTTTTAGAGGCGACAGGGCTAAGTTAAATTCTTGGGGATAGGAGTTAAAAATTAACACTGCTTGGCCCTGAAAGAGTTATTATGTGTGCCATCATTCTGTAAATCCTTCATTGATAAGATATTTTTTCCTGTTTTCCTTCAGAGACTTGTTCTTTCTGGCTGCAACCTCTATATTTGTTGCACAGACTGTATAGATTTCTCTGAATTCGTGAAAGGTTGGTATTCTTTGATGTTTGAATAAATTGTATATCACTAAAAATGTTATCAGATTCATACCGTGAACTATGTAATGACAGATTTTATTTCATTGTTTCGCTAATTCACTAGCCTGCTTTTTAACTGACAAAACTCCCTGTGTGGGTTTCAGGGCCTATTTTGGGGGGAAAAGAAAAGGCTTACTGTTCCCCTAACAAGTATATAGTAAAAGGCGACTAATTAGAGATTGTTCCCCCCTCCCAAGCCGGAGCGCATCTGCCTAAGAAACGGGAAGCCAACAGTCTGCATACAAATAGGCCAGGTCTGTAATATGGATGAGCATGCACAATTCAAGTTCTGGAAAAAGACTCAAGTCCAGAAGTGAATAAAAAGCCAGAACTTTTTACCAGCGTTGACTAGCTGTGACTGCAAAGACAAAAAAAATTATGTTAGAAATTTCTTGTGGAAGGGAATTCACAATGAGAATTTATATGTACATTATAAGAAGACCATCCACACTCTAGGCATATCTTGAGGAAGGAAACCTAGAGTGTGGCATAACTGCAAGGTAATCTCCCCTCCCCATCCCCCCGCCCCACCCACCCACCCATGTGTAGAAGTTCTTTTTAATTATTCTGTTTAAGTGGCAGGGTTCTCTTCTGTGCACAGTCTGGTAGTAGTCTTGATACATGTTTGAACCATTTGATCTGTTGTCTCCTCATTTGTAGTACTGGTTCTGTCCCAACTTCTCTCCTGATATTGTCATTTCTAATCCTGTCTCTTCTAAATACATTTAGACTTCATTACACTTGTATGTTTGCCGGAATATGTCCTCATCTCTTTTGCTATAGTTTAGCTGTGAATTAAAGATTTCATTAGCAAGGTCTCCTGCTTATTAAAAAATTTACATCTGTAATATATCAAACATCTATTTACTTATGTTATATATGAAACATCTACTACCAAACATGGATCCAGTGAACAAAAAACAGTTGAGTTGAGTTGAGAATTGACATCACAGCACTCGGGGCATTCCCATGCATGCTCCGTCCTCATCTTCAGCAGCCAGCGCAGAGTTCCAGTACTGATGGTACCGGTCACAATCTGGTTATACGTCCGTCTTGCCTTTCCTCTGAGTGTAGTGAGCCGGCCAGACCCTCTGGTTATACCCAGGTGCCTCATTCTCTCCAGGCCATAATAATCCTTTCTCTACTGATTGCGTTGCTTGTTTGAACAGAAAACAATACCAGTTTAAGTCTCCCACTGTATAGTGTACTGTCAGTGCAAGAAATTGATAGCATATTTTTGCTTCATGTGGCTTCCAGAACACTATTGAAAAAAAAATGTATACACACGCTGCACTAAAAAAAAAAATGTGTATAGTCAAAGGAAACTAAATTAGAATTTGCTGTTTTTGGATGTGTTGGGTCGAAGCATGTGGAAACTGCAGTCTAGCAGTAACCATAACACAACATACCAACGGACCTTTTGAGGGCAGGGCAATCAATAAAGAAGACAACAATTACGTTATGTTATACTTAAACAAATCTTCTTTTTCGAATTCATTGGCTGTAAACTGCAGTGGAAAGTCCTGATTGTTTATCCGCTGTTGAACGTTAGTCTTGTTCCAGAACTTGAGTCCTGCGTGCACATATGTTTTACAGATCTGGCCTTTGCCCGATAATCTACCAAATGCCTGATGCTGTTAAAACATAGTTGTTTAGCGCCAAAATATACCAAGAATACTTGAAGGTGTGGATATAATTTTAATTTTTTCTCTTGCTCGATGTAACAAATTGCATATGATTGTTCACATCTCACTTTTTTCTATCTCAGTTCTGAATATACCAGACACATTCAACTCATGGTTCCTGTTGCTACAGTTGCATTTATGGTAGGCACCTTGTTTATATATTTCTGTTTGGCTTCGTCTTCTTCCAATCTAGATCCTGAGTAAAGTCGATGGTATGGAAGATAAGGTGTAATGTCGGTAGCATGATTTACAAAAAGGAATTCTCGTAGCTTTTTGACATAAGTTTGAGGGTCACACCGTGGAAGAAATTTAAGCCTCAACATGAAGTATTTTCAAAGACAGTAGTGGATGCTTTCCACCAACAAGACGAGGAACTAACAATCTGCATACGGGTAGGCCAGATCTGTAAAACAGATGTGCATGCAAATGTCAGGTTCTGAAACAAGACTTAAGTCCCGAAGTTCACGAAAAAGCAAAAATGAATGCCTGAGTTTGCAGCCCGTGAATGGGAAGGAGAAGAAGAAAAATATAGTTAATACACAGTAATGCTATGTTAACACAGTTGACGTCACTGTACATTGGGCATTCCCATGCATGCACAGTCCTCTGATGCAGCAGCCACCCCAAGGTACTACAACTAATGCACAGTGAAAGTGGCACTGTGAAAGCTAGATTTCTTGAGCATGCTGTGGTAAATATAAAAAGTAAAAGTACATTTTACATGAAGGTTGGAATTCATGGAGAAGAACACATCACACATTGTCTGAAGTTTAGAATTCATGGAAAAGAATACATCACACGTTGCCTGAAGGTTGGAATTCATGGAGAAGAATACATCACACGTTGCCTGAAGGTTGGAATTCATGCAGAAGAACACATCACACATTGTCTGGAGGTTGGAATTCAGGGAAAATAACACATCACACATTGTCTGAAGTTTAGAATTCAGGGAAAAGAATACATCACACGTTGTCTGAAGTTTAGAATTCAGGGAAAAGAATACATCACACGTTGTCTGAAGGTCGGAATTCAAGGGGAAAAACACATCACATATTGTTTGGAGGTTGGAATTCATGGAAAAGAACACATCACACGTTGTCTGGAGGTTGGAATTCAGGGAAAAGAACACATAACATATTGTCTGGAGCTGAAAGAGTTAATCAGGCAAATGAATATTATCCAAACCTGGTATTTTGAAACACAGCCACTATCCTCTAAGCCTAGAGCCATTCCGTGAAATATTTAATTAAGCAGAAATATTAACTTTGCTGAAAGAATTAAGTATGTTTTGCCATCATTTAGCTTGGCTTATGTTTTATTGTAATTGTTCTGTTTCAATGGTTTCCACATATAAAATTTCCTTTCTGCAGGATGGTTAACGTCAAAGTATCACAGATGGGCCAGGAGGGTGCCATCTTGAAAGAAAATATGTATAAATCTATGTGGCAGAACGTAGAGCAAAGGTTACAGAAATTTCAGGTTAGATGTCAGTTATGTGAGCCCTGAGAGGATAGGCTTTGCATTCTTGTATCTTCTTCTTAGTTACATTCATCCGCTGTAAACTCTGGCAGAAAGTTCTGATTGTTCATCCATTTCTAGACTTTGGTCTTGTCCAGAACCTGAGTTTTCTGTGCACATCCGATCAGCAGATCTAACTTATTTTTATGCAGACTGTTCGTTCCTTGCCTCTTACACAGATGCATTCTGACTTTGAAGAAAACTCCTCTAACTAGTCGACTCTTATGACATGTTTGTTGTTGGGGGGGGGGGGGGGGGGGGGGGTATTGGGTCTGTTTGTTTTTGTTTGTTTTGTTGTCCCACAATGGGGGGGGGGGGGGGGGGGGCATTGGGTATGTTCATTTTGTTTCCCAACAATGGGGAGGGGGGGGGGGAGAGGGCATTGGGTATGTCATTTTGTTCCCCACAATGGGAAATTGGGTATGTTCATTTTGTTCCTCACAGTGGGGGGCATTGGGTCTGTTTGTTTTGTTTCCCACAATGGGGGGGGGGGGGGGGGCATTGGGTATGTTCATTTTGTTCCCCACAATGGGGGGGGGGGGAGGCATTGGGTATGTTCATTTTGTTCCCCACAATGGGAAATTGGGTATGTTCATTTTGTACCCCACAATGGGAAATTGGGTATGTTCATTTTGTACCCCACAATGGGGGGGGGGGGGGAGGCATTGGGTATGTTCATTTTGTTTCCCACAATGGGGAGGGGGAGGGGCATTGGGTATGTTCATTTTGTTCCCCACAATTGGGGGGGTGGGGGGGGGGGTATTGGGTATGTTTCATTTTGTTCCCCACAATGGGAAATGGGGGGCAATTGGTATGTTCATTTTGTTCCTCACAGTGGGGGGCATTGGGTCTGTTTGTTTTGTTTCCCACAATGGGGGGGGGGGGGGAGGGGGAGGCATTGGGTATGTTCATTTTGTACCCCACAATGGGGGGGGGAGGGGCATTGGGTATGTTCATTTTGTTCCCCACAATGGGAAATTGGGTATGTTCATTTTGTACCCCACAATGGGAAATTGGGTATGTTCATTTTGTACCCCACAATGGGAAATTGGGTATGTTCATTTTGTACCCCACAATGGGGGGGGGGGGGGGAGGCATTGGGTATGTTCATTTTGTTCCCCACAATGGGAAATTGGGTATGTTCATTTGTACCCCACAATGGGAAATTGGGTATGTTCATTTTGTTCCCCACAATGGGGGGTTAGGGGATTGGGTCTGTTCATTTTGTACCCACACCCCAATGGGGGGGGGGGGGGGCATTGGGTCTGTTCATTGTGTTCTGGTGGCAGAAAGAAAAAAAAAAAGCCAGTTACTTTGTGCACTAAACATGTACAGGAGACTTGTCCCTAGCTGCACCCAACAGGACATATGATGCTAGCTCCGTATATAACTAGACCAATAATCAGCACTAGTTGGATGGTATAATCAGTGTCATCCCTTGACTTTCCAAGATATTTCTTGTCCCTATTTTAGGCTTGAACACTATTTAAAAGCAGCCACAGTTATTTAGCAACTAGACGCTCACTTACGCATTCAGAGATCATAGGTTTAAATCATCATTGAGCCAGATCCCCCCCCCCCTTTCCTCTCAGGTCGGCCTAGCCTTAAATGGACACCAGGTGAAGTCCTGGGAGGTAAAGGTGGCCATCATGATGCTGACCACATGACCCACCAAGTGCCCATTGGTCTAAGAAAAATACAAGTCTAGCACTAAATGCCCTATATGCCCTAAAGGCATGAAAAGGGTTCTTTACTTTACTTTGCACTGTTTGAAATTCAAAAGTAAAATAATTAAAATGAATCAAAGTATATTTGTCAATTTCAGGACCTCACGTCAAGTGATAGGAAGGAAGCTATGGAAAATTACAGAAGCCTCATGTTTTTATCCATCCTTTATTATGATGAGGTTTGTTTGTATATGTTTTATGTGTTATGTTTCCTTTGTATATTGTTATGTTTAATGGATAGGGAATATTGAGAGAATGTCAGACCATAGAGAGGTAAAAACCATGTACACAGGGGAGCTGAATGGTCATAGACCACATGGCAGACCAAGAAGACGATGGAGAGCTAATATCCAGACAAACCTAGTTTTTGTCACTATCTGGAAAGAGAAGGCCAACCTGAGAGATGAATGGATGCAGGTGATATCTGCAGTAATTAACCTCAAGGGCTCGGAATGCTGGAGGAGAAGAAGAAGAAATATTCATCCTGGGAAGAAGGAATGCAGTTTGAAAACTTAATCTTACTGCAGGACAGACTAGGCCCTTAGTTTTTGCTGGCAGCTGATCTGTGGGGGAAAGCTCCACCATGGTGGATAGACAGAGCGCTGCTTTTCTGATCTGGCAGCTTCAGCAGTATCTCTTTGTTCTAAACATGTTTGGTGTTACCCCTCCTTTAGAGTAAACAAGGCAGGTCAAGTGAGGGATTATGCTGTACAGACAACACTTGGTCTCTGCAATACTGCATAACTTTCCATCTCATGCCAGGCCATCCTGTCTTTCGCTGTCATAACTCGCCCATTTTCCCTCCAAATCTTTTTCCCTTCTCCATGTGCTTCTGGTCTGCCTTTATACCTTTGACCCTGTGGGTTCCAGTGTGATTACATTCTAGTTATATTATTCTCATTTTTTCACACTGTGTTTCCATTCCAACACCAACATCTTATCCTTACCCCTTGGTTTACTAGAACTTGGATCAGTTCTCTCCCGAAGCTCTACTTTACTGATTATTTATTTAGTAGGTAAATTAAAAAATCAATTTTCCACGCCTTTGCCTTTATTGGACATACGTGGCTAGACCTATATTTTATAGATCAATCAGCACTCTGTGGGTGATGTGGGTCAGCACCTTGCCAGCCACCTTTAGTTCCTAGAACTTTGGCTGGTACCCACTTAAGGCTAGGTCGACCTGAAAGCCAAGGTCGTTCTAGGGGAGAAAAGGTCCGGCTCTATCAGGGCCTGAACCCACGACCTTCAGATCTGCAGGCAAATGGTTAGCTGCTACAGCACTGCGGCTAATTATTATTTACCATCATCAAAATGCAGCCTCAATGCTATTTTCAGGGTCTGATGGGCTCTGATAAGCAGTTAGCAAACTCCTTGTGGGTTCAGCTGTTTGCCATGGACCCAAACATCGGAGCTGAGCAACTGGAGCTGATGGTGAAATATGTCCGAAAACAGGTAACTGTTTTTTATATGCCTTTTTATTTGTTGTCACTTACTTGTTTTAAATGTCTGTTCCTGCACACTGGCATTTGAAATCATTTGTTCTTACAAAATTGTTTTCAGTGTCTACACTACACAGAGATTTCTTGTCACAGATGTAACACAAAGAAACATAAAAGAATTGATATATCTAAAGATTTTTTTAAAAGAATAAACAGAATCCTGAAAACATAATAATGGCATGTACAACCAACCTGGTCAGTGAACAGATACTGTCACCACAGTGAAGGTTGGCTGCAATGGATCTCCAACATTCTCTGTCTCTTGTCTTGGTTGTACATTTTCTCTGGCCGCTGTGCATCCATCTCTTGACGTTGTCCTCTCAGTTGTGTTACTGTCTACCTCTTGCCCTTGACCATTCCCTCCAGTATGGTTTATAAAAGAGTGTTATATCTTTTAATGTGGCCAAAATATTTTCACTTGTTTCTTCTTAATTTCTTCCAGCAACTCTCCTTTCATTTGCAGACTCTCCGGAACGTGTGTATTTGATTGTTTGTTTCCATGATATGCAACATATTCTTCAAACCATTGAAGCATTCTAATCGATAGATCCCCCAGCCAAGCTGGTTCATGGACAGGTTTCAGAGGTTGCCACCACAAGATCCCCTAGCCAAGCTGGTTCATAGACAGGTTTCAGAGGTTGCCAACACTAGATCCCCTAGCCAAGCTGGTTCATAGACAGGTTTCAGAGGTTGCCAACACAAGATCCCCTAGCCAAGCTGGTTCATAGACAGGTTCCCCAACACAAGATTCCCTCCCTTCCCCCCCCCCACCCCCCCCCCCCCCCAGCCAAGCTGTTTCATAGACAGGTTTCAGAGGTTGCCAACACAAGATCCCCTAGCCAAGCTGGTTCATATAGACAGGTTTCAGAGGTTGCCAACACAAGATCCCCCAGGGCTGGTATTGGACAGGTTCAGAGGTTGCCAACACAAGATCCCCCAGCGAAGCTGGTTCCTTGACAGGTTTCAGAGGTTTGCCAACACAAGATCCCCCCAGCCAAGCTGGTTCATAGACAGGTTCCAGAGGTTTGCAACACAAGATCCCCCAGCCAAGCTGGCTCTTGGACAGGTTACAGGTGAAACAAAAATCCCCTGGCTGGTTTTTGGACAGGTTTCAGAGATTACCAACACAAGATCCCCCCCAGCCAAGCTGGTTCTTGGACAGGTTTCAGAGGTTGCCAACACAAGATCCCCCAGCCAAGCTGGTTCATAGACAGGTTCCAGAGGTTGCCAACACAAGATCCCCCAGCCAAGCTGGTTCATGGACAGGTTTCAGAGGTTGCCAACACAAGATCCCCTAGCCAAGCTGGTTCATGGACAGGTTTCAGAGGTTGCCAACACAAGATCCCCCAGCCAAGCTGGTTCATGGACAGGTTTCAGAGATTGCCAACACAAGATCCCCCAGCCAAGCTGGTTCATGGACAGGTTTCAGAGGTTGCCAACACAAGATCCCCCAGCCAAGCTGGTTCATGGACAGGTTTCAGAGGTTGCCAACACAAGATCCCCCAGCCAAGCTGGTTCATGGACAGGTTTCAGAGGTTGCCAACACAAGATCCCCTAGCAAAGCTGGTTCATGGACAGGTTTCAGAGGTTGCCAACACAAGATCCCCCAGCCAAGCTGGTTCATAGACAGGTTTCAGAGGTTGCCAACACAAGATCCCCCAGCCAAGCTGGTTCATAGACAGGTTTCAGAGGTTGCCAACACAAGATCCCCCAGCCAAGCTGGTTCATGGACAGGTTTCAGAGGTTGCCAACACAAGATCCCCCCCAGCCAAGCTGGTTCACGGACAGGTTTCAGAGGTTGCCAACACAAGATCCCCCAGCCAAGCTGGTTCTTGGACAGGTTTCAGAGGTTGCCAACACAAGATCCCCCAACCAAGCTGGTTCATAGACAGGTTTCAGAGGTTGCCAACACAAGATCCCCCAGCCAAGCTGGTTCATGGACAGGTTTCAGTGGTTGCCAACATAAGATCCCCTAGGGCTGTATTGTGGTTATGATTTAACAGTGTTCACTGAATCACAAGAAAAAACATTTAGAATGAAACCTACAGCTGTGCAGTTATTTTCATATAAACCAGGTCTATTACACTGAAATTCTTCTGGCTTTTTTGTTTGTTGTCATCTCACTGATACCAGGTGTAGCTCAGTGTCATGATTTTCTGTATGTGTCGCAAATTTTCAAAATTAACGCCCAGTTTAATTTTTTCTTTTTTTTAATCTCTTACAAACGAATAGTCCTACTTTTACTTTGGTTAAGGCACATGGAAAAATTTTAATTAAAAAATGGCGCCACATCTAAGAAAAGTTTTGGAAACATTGCGCTCAGACATGTGGCATGAGATTTCACATGGGACATTGAGTAACAATTATTGACTGTAATTATAACAATTAAACACTCATTCATGCTTCTTGTATCAGATAAACATTATATCAGTCAGCGGAAATATAATATGCCTACATACATATACATATGAGAGCACATAAATGGTGTTAGAAAACAGATTCACAATGGCTGCCCTCACATGTGGTTAGCAGCAGATAGTAGGAATTTGGAGGAATTAGCAGCACCCAATACACCAAAATAAAATGATAAAAATAAACTCACACCCCTAGTAAGTATCTTACTCCTTTTAAGACTTCAGTTTTAGCCACCCCTTTGGTATTCTGAAAATCAGTTGAGGACTTAAATGCTGACTGGAAGTCACTGAAAAGTGGAATAACTTGAGTTGTTCACACACCTTCTACTTTTGACTTTTTCGCGATTTTAGTATAGAAATTACAGTAAAGTTTCTGTGTAGAAATAAGTTTTTTAGATAAGAAACATTAGTCGAGACAAGCCCCTACAGTGAGTGTTTGTTTATATTTACAGGTCTATCACCATGACAATGAGTGTTTGTTTATATTTACAGGTCTACCACCATGACAGTGAGTGTTTGTTTATATTTACAGGTCTATCACCATGACAATGAGTGTTTGTTTATATTTACAGGTCTACCACCATGACAGTCTTGATCCCCTGCTCATCCTGAAGCCAGGCTACATCTCCTTCCTGCCCCTTGTAAGCGACAAACTGGATCCTAAAAAAGTGCAGCGGGATCTTCACTACGTTACAGACAAACAATGATAGTGCCATATTCATTAACTCTTTAACTTTAGTTAAGTTTTCTTTTGCTGGTGCAATTACTATACACACACACACAAAAAGCAGTTGGTAAGTGCACTATTTGCACCAACTTTGTGCTATCAGGGTCTGAGGTGGACAGTCCTGGAAAAACATAAATGCAAAAATACAACATGTGAAATAAGAGGAATAAGAAATGGGCTATGAAAAACAAGAAGAGACAGGGTCAGCAAAGAAGAACTAAGAACAGTAGTAGGCACAGTACCAGTAAAGGATTGTATAGATTATACAAGAATCCAATGGTTTGGTCATGTTATCAGAATGAAGCAAAATCGGCATACTATGTGAGAACATTAGGCTACAAGGCAAGAGGCTGTCCAAGAAAGTGATGGGTGGAGGGAGTAGAGAACACTATATAAACACAGAACGACATAACTAGCAAAAGACAAGAAACTTCATCTTACTCCTGACTGCAACTATTTAGGGCATAAGCAGTAGGACAACAAAAGAAGAAGTTACTCTAATATAATAAACTTCTCCTCTGGGTGGTGAGCTACTTTATGATGAAGCAGACATGGGCAAGGCTCTGTGGGATCCAGTGAACAGTGTAACAGAACAGACAGAAAATCCATATCTGCAAAGAATGATTCATGTAGTGTGAGTAGAACTCATAGACAATTTTCTACCTATAAAGAGAAACCCAGCTGCAGGCCCTGCGCCTTGCGTTGGTTTCAACAGTGGTACCGAGAAGCTGACCGTCCAGAAAGCAATGGCAAACTACTAGATGTAAATTTGCCTAGAGAAACCGCAACAGCCAAAAATTGCTGGGGTCGGTTCTGCAAAGTCCTGTAAAGGTTACGCAACTAACTTTTAAAAGATAAACCTGCCCGACCTTTTTATCTTGTTGCAGCTGACCCCATCATTTGGGGACTCGTCACTGGCTACTGAAGAAGAGAACGGAGCATGCATGGGAATGTCCCAAGTGCAGTGATTCATTCATGAAATAGGTAGAACTAACCCAGCATTTTTTGAGTGTTTGTGATTTTACTAGGCAGTAGTTTGCTATTGCTGTCTGAACAGTCGACTGTCAGTACCACTGTTGAAACCAACAAGAAATCATCCACAGCTGGGATCGAACTGGGCATCTTGGAATTATGAAGTGTGTTCACATGACCTGAGCCACAGACACTGACTCATGTAATGTACCTGACTTAAATTTTGTTGGTTATAAACAAGGTTGAAACAAGAGCAGAAGTCACCCTCTGAACCCAAGACCTGATTCCAAGGCAAGCATCTAGCCGCTACACCATGATGGCTCCCTGCTTTAATAAAAAGGGCCTTTTAATTTTTTATTTTTGAAGTAATATATACTCTCTGTAGACTCTCATGATGTTTGAAGTAGAAAATCAGGTTGTTTCTGTTGTGAATGCAGATTTAAAAAAAAAAAAAAAATTTTGGCACTCTTCTAAATACCGGTCCCAAATTATTCACTGCGAAAAATTATTTTTTTTCCCCTCAAACTTGTGACCCTGGAACCCACAAGGCGAGTCACAGTTACTGTGAACAATGGATCAAAAAACTATTCCCCCCCCCCCCACCACCCCCCCCCCCCCCCCCCCACTCTCATATCGCTTAAATGCATTGAAAACTACTCCTCCCCACAATGCTTCAACATTGGATCAAAATCTATTCTTCCTTACAATACTTCAATGGATCGAGAACTAGTCCTCCCTACTGCGCTTTAGCTTAATGTCTAAACATTGCTATCCTTCGTGCTATAACGGCAGAAGTGCAAACTGATGATGAGGGCCTAAATGTTGTTACTTCAGTACATAAGCTCTTGACGCTCCCAAAGAAATGTTTTTCACAGTGAATAATTTGGGCCCGGTATTCGGAATAGTGCCAAAGTTTTTTATTCTTCAGGTGTAATAACTAAATGGGAAAGCTTACTACACTCTAACTTACACCACTGACACGTTGAGCAGACCCATAATCTTTAGACCAGTCAGCACTCACTGGATGTTATGGGTAACCTCATACTGATACTTTAATTAGGCCATGTTTATTGCACCTGATATTGTGATTTATGGATTTTAGTTATTTTCTCCACCATGTAGCTTCTGTGGCCCCATTTTTATGGGCGAGGAGGGTTGGGGGAAAAAAAATGAAACACACTTCTTTTAACAGTCTGCATCATAAAAAATTGACTAAGGGTTCTAAAGTGCTGGGCCACACACACAAAAATGCTTATATCACAGCCTAGCTGTAAACCACAACACAACATGTAAACCATCCATTTAAGTGGGAATGCAGAAGAAGTGATTTTGTTAACAATAAATGCTTACACACTGGACATTGCAGAGGCAACAGACGCTCTCTTTCCGGTGTCGTCTTGTTGAACAGGCTCCAGAACATGTCTTGCAAAACTGTCCTCTCCTGGAGTAGCTGCGAAGCAACATGTGGCCACACCCAGTAAGGCTGACAATTAAGCTTTGGGGAAACATAAATCTGAAGATGACATCCCAGTTTGTGGCCCACAGTGGGTTAGTGCGTGACCAGAGATCGCTGACAAAGTACTAGTTTCTAATAAAGATATATATTCACAATTTGTTCACTGTTACTGAAAATGTCAGATGTTCTTGTAGTTTTTTGCATCTAGTGTGATGTAATACTCATTTATGCACAGTTATCAATGTTTTATTGTTTATAAACATAGGCTTTGAGCCTTAACATTGTATTTGATTCTCAAATTTAGCAGTTACTGCGGAGCACTTTAAAATAGACAGAAAAATAAATGAGTTAAATAACTTCTTTGCACTAGGTTTTATCCCATATAGCTCAGCCTCTCTCCGCAGATCGGCAAGCCGCCTGCCCAGAGTATCGCACAAAGCACGAAAACTCCCTGGCTCTAGCAAAGATCCCCAGCAATCTCCATAAAAACTGCACTCGTGAACTGAACGACACAGCCGTGAAGCGAACCCACGACCTTCAGTGCACGAAGTAAACGGCTTGACCACTTTGCCACGGAAAGCCTGGATAAAAAAATAAGATGTTGGTAAGCACTCGCAGATTTCAGGAAAATAAGTGGTATTATTTTATTTTTTTTTTAATCTTTGTAAGCTTTTATTAAATTCAGTTTTGTTTGTCTGGTACAAATGTTATTTTGTTTATTTTTTTTTTGGGTGTGGATTCCTTAAAGGCCTTGTTTTGTTGAGTGATATGGTGTAATATGCTCTTGTTTCATCAAGCACTGGGAGTGGCTTGCTGTGGGAACGGCTTGGAACACTGTGGTCTTGTTGAACTTGAGAGCAGAAGCAGCTTGGAATTTTTAATGAATGAATGAATCAGGACTTGAAATCACTGCACTGGAGAAATTCCCACATGTGCTCCGTCCCCTTCTTCAGTAACCAACGAAAAGATGATATGCTACAAGTACCAGCTGCAACCTGATTAAAAGTTTGCCTCTGTTTCCCTTTCAATGTTGAATTTCCTCCAGAACCTCTTCCCCCCCCCCCCTCTCCCACCCACCCCCCCCCCCCCCCCCCCCCCTGTTAAAATAGTCTTTTAGTGTATGGATTCCCTGTCTGTACAGCTGATGAACGCTAAGATAAAGATGATACAAGTAAACTTCGACTTCCAGTCAAAATGGACGCTAGGCAGGGCCACTGTTTGGAGCCGAGGCAAATTGCTTGCTTCTGCCAGACGGTGGCCGATGCATTTTTATTCCATTTGTAGACTGGATATAGTTTGGTCGTCCAGCTTCTGAGTTGAATACATGGCGTGACACTGTGAGCTGCGGATTTAATTTGGAATGTTTTTTCGACTGTGACCAACGTGGTGGTGTGAATTGTAGATTCAGAAAATGGCGTGATGCCTGTTGTCGCAATTTTGGTGGTGCCCGTATGTGATTAAAATTGATCACGTGGGCAACTGCAGATCTGTTGATGACTTCTGCTACTATCAATGATGAACTGCATTTCTAATGTTGGACTGTTTGTGTTAGTACTTCGGATGGCTACCGTATGCTTTAATGTGAGTATATGCTAGATATGCTGAGACAGCAGTTTGTCAAACTTTCCACAAGGGACTGTGATAAATATTCTGTGTGTTTTTCGTTGGCACAGGAGCGGAGCAAAGATGGGGTGACCCGTTTGCTATGAAGCTGAAACTCAGACTGTCAGACCACCAGACAAGTATACATTTCCATTACTGTATCACCATGGAATTGCTTTTATAATTTTACCTTTTGTTTTTGCAATATACCTGTTACTGTCACCATTTATAGTTATGCATTCATTATAATGGTGTTGTTTAACAAGCTGATTATGAGTAAGTAAAGTAAATAAAAGGTCTTTTTCCAAACCATCAGGCATATTAGGCATGTAGGGCTAGCTAGACATACTTATAGACCAGTCAGCACTTGCTGGGTGGTGTGGTCAGTATCGCGCCAGCCGCCTTTACTTGCCAGGACTTTACCTGGTACTCAGTCAAGGCTGGGTCAACCTAGGAGCCAAGATTATATTTATTTTTTTAATAAAGTCTGGCTTCGACAGGACCTATGACCTTATGATCCCGCAAAACCAGAGTCTTTTGATTATGAGTACTCTGTTGCATTTGTTTTGTAGTTTTCATCATTACATATCTTTCCTATCACATTAATGTGATAATTGAGGTTCTGACACAGCTGTGATTGTTTTGACAGCACCCTCTTGTGTTATATGTGCTGTTGGCTTCGTCTTGGACATAAACAAGAAAAGGAACCTTAAAAGACTTTATATTTTATTTACTGTAATGGGACCTGTTCATTGTAACACTTGTTGGTTGTATGGCTGTTGTGTGTAACTTCTCTGAAAAAAGCTGTGGGGGTGATCAGAAGAGATAAAATTAAGAATGAAGTCATAAGAGGAAAAATTCCAGGCTGGTTTAACCCTCAAAGGTGGCCCAGTTAAAACTTCTCTGATGGTTAAAGGGGAATCTGCGATATGCCCTGTCGGCCACCAGCA